AACAAACGTTTGTTCTAGGGTTTGAGCACGCGATAATCAATAAGTACACCTGTGGTAACACTGCTGTATAATCGATCAACCAAACAAAATCAAAAACAAAAACAACATAAATAGGGTTTTCCTTTAAGATCCATAACACACAACTTAACGAAATTCTTCTTAGCCAACATACTGAAATAACTTGTTAAACATGGTTCTTCCCCTATTAATTAAAAACATTGGAGAGTTTGTAGATTTTATAGTTACATTGATAGCTGACCCAGATGAAACGATGGTTTCTTTAGAAATCGTTTTTTTTTCACCTGCCGCCCCCAGTGGCACAGCAGTATGTCTGCGGACTTACAAAGCTAGAATCCGGGTTTCGATACCCGTTGTGGGCAGAGCACAGATGGCCCATTGTGTAGCTTTGTTCTTAATTGCAAACAAACAAACCCACGGTGGACAGAACACAGATAGCTTAGTGCGTATCTTTATGCTTTTACAACAAGCATACAAACAAGCTGAATACAGAGACTAGTAATATATTGTTTGATAATAATTTACTTTGAATATTGAATAAAATAAATCTAAAGAGGCAAGAAACTCTTTGCCGTTTTAAGACAGTATGTATTCATACTGAGTTAAATAAAAACGTCCCTGTTAAAGTATTGAGAGTTTAGTTATTATGTTTGAAAACATTTTCTTACATAAGTAGAATAAGCTAATAAAGAACTCTGGAAGAAGAATACATCAAAAATGGGTGTTTTTTTTTTACTTTAATTTTCGAGACTTCAAATGTAAAGGAAATTGATGGAGTATTTTTGTTTACTTAAAATAAAATGATATTTACCATTTCATGTTTATGAATTGAGTCAGCCCTTTGATGTATTAAAAATTTTAAATCATTTACGATGCTGTAACTTTTTCTGTATGTTTTTACAGTCAAATCGTGTTTAAATCTTCAGGGCCATATTCCTTTATATAGTACTCAGCTTTTCTAAATAGTATGTGTACCGTGTGATTGTGTTTTTATACACTGTGCTTATCATATTTTCATTTTATGCAGATAATTTGATTGGTTATTCCCATGAACAAAGAACTGATAGGAATAAATGTAAACAATTTTTTGAATAAAAACTTAATACTTTTAGTAACAGACAGATTGTGGCAAGATATAGTTTAGAACACAAAACATGTCTAACTTACTCATTTTGAAGGGGCGTGTTGTTAAATAAACACATACCATTAATAGTTTAACTATAATCATTTTTGTTGCATAGAACTTGTCTGTATGTTAGTTTTACAAAAATAGAAAAACATACCAGTTATTAGAAATAAACTAGTACTTAGGTCTCACAGATGTTTCAATTTCATGAATTGTTGAAATATTTGAATCTTTGTGATGGAAAAAGTTTACATTAAATTTAGACATTATTTTTTCAAGAAAATTAGAATTACTTAAAAATATAAAGAAGATAGAATATACAGAAGAATAAAAGATGAGTGACAAAGTCACGTGCATGTATTTAACATTAGATGATTGGGCCTAAGTTTTAATACTACTTTCAGTGATAAATATTTTTTAAAACTGTGACATTAATAAACTCTCGTGCATAAGTTTTGATCTGTTTTACACATCTTTGTTTTTATATTTCAATCAAATAAACATCTATAGTCAAAACTTTGTGTAAGCCTAGTTTCACAGGCATTATTTATTGTAAAAGTTAAAATGCAATACAAGTTTGATTGTTTCAAGGTGTGTTAAGGCTTTTTCTACAGAAAGATTCTAAAATGCGAACTTTGAACTTTTGTAAATATTATTGGTGCCTACAAATGAAAAAGCTTAAATCATACAAATGAAAGTTTGCTGTAATATAATAATTACGTTTTTTAAAGTTAGGCTGTTGAATAAATGAAATTTAAGATATGACAGTTTTAACATATGCTATTCAGCACGGGTTATATATAAAATTAAAATAAATTTTATGTTACGCAATATTTGAACAAGGTCTGAACATGTATGTGCATCATCTTTATTTGAATTCTTAGCAGAATTTATAAACAAGTTTTTAACAAACAATTTTACAATTATATAATGAATAAACTTAGATTTCAAATGAAACCAATTTCAGAACGTCTTGGCGTTCAAATAGGCATTTTATCCAGGTTATTATACGAAGCTCTATGGATTAACTAGGATCCTAAGCAAAGGAATAAGATAATACGTTGAATAAACCTTTCAATAAACTTCTTTAGATGATTCTTGTGAGAACGTTGAGAAGTTCATTATTGGATTTTCTTATAGGTTTCTTTGTAAGAACTCTTATAGAAAGTTCCATTAAAAACTTTTTGGGGTTCTACTGCACGGGTCTTTCCGAACTATGTTATTTGTTGTATTGCCCGCGCTTAAAACCCTCGAAATGACTTGAGGTAAATCACTTTATTACAGGCATGGCATCACATTTTTGAAATTTGGATATTGAGATTTGTAATCAAAAGAAATATCTGAGTTAAGAACTTATGAGTTTTTTTTTAGCATAAAGCTACACAGTAGGCTATCTACGCTCTGTCTACCACGGGAAATCGAACCCTGGATTTTAGTGTTGCAAGTCCGTAAACTTACCGCTGATCTGGTAGAAGTAAGTACTTAAGGTAATGTTGGTGCGATCACCTATCATTTGTCATCATGATTACTAGTAGCCTCTATAATCACTTAAGTTTTAGTTACCAATATATTCTTATTAATTACTAGAAACAAACAAACAACAACAACAAAAAACTAACGAAAGCTATAATTTTGAAAATAACAGACACCCAAGATTCTGTAATACCGGTCTATCTGCAAGAGTCTACCTATCATACAAGAGAATACCATAAGTGGAATAATAGTAAAATGATGGGATATATAAACCACATATGAGCATAAAAAGATAAAAGAAATATTCTACACCCATATAACACACCTAACATTGGGATTATAACATTAAAAATAAGGTTTCGATACCCACAGTGGACAGAGCACAGATAGTTATAAGTAAAATAAATAAATTGGAGCCAACAAAACGAAGATACCCCTCTTGAAAGCATTCAAATAAGTTAGTTAATCAAAGCCCTAATGGAGTAGACCCTAAACGAATGGATAGCACACCAGTCTCTCAAGAAGATTTAGGTTTCAGTCTCAGCCACAACCACCACAGCAATAGTCCTTCTCAGGACTTCCCTGAAGACGGCAGCAGATTAGCAGTCGAATCTAGCTAGAATAGTAACTAGTAATTAATACTAAAAGTAACTAATGAGTAATTAGGTGATCATATAAGCTACAAATTATGACAACGATCAAAAGCAGAGTTATTTTGATGAGTTAGGCTTAAATATCTAGGTCCGCGGGCCCTTCCGTACTTAATGGTAAGCTTGAGAGCTTATAAAGCTGAAATCCGGGATCATATTCTTGTAGTATGCATATCCAAGATTCGAGCTTGTTATATGTCGTTGAACACCTTTCACACTATCAGCAGTGGGTGTGTTATAAACTTGAGAGCTAACCCGTAATTGTAACAATTAGCTGGTTGCTTCCCTCTGGTCGGTAGTTTATTTTTGAATTTCGTGCAAAGCTACTAGAGGGCTACCTGCGTTCGCTGTCCCTAATTTAGCAGTGATAGACTAGTGGGAAGGCCGCTAGTCAACACCATCTATCGCTAATTCTTTACCAACAAATAGTGGAATATATCGTAACATTATAACGCCCCCTAGGGTGAAAGGGCGAGCATGTTTAGTGATGGGAATACGAAGCTGTGACCCGCTGATTGTGAGTCAAGCGCTTTAACCACTATGCCAGGCCTGGTCAATATTTCAAAACTTGGGCAGGCTAAACTCTAATTCTATTAGGTCTATAACCTAGCCATTTAGCCCATGTGTACATACGGTGGCATTCAGGTTGAAAAAATTAAAAGTTCATAACTTAGGCATCGCCGTTAAATAGGTGTTTCTTTTGCCTTGTCTTTAAGATTTTACGACAAAAGATGCGATAATCGTGTGTAAAGATATTTGGTTAACTGCCAACAGGAATTTCTAAGACCTGTTATTAAAATAATGCTCAGTGAAGTGTATAGTAAGTCTAATACATCTTACGCTTTTTTAAAGCTTTTTTGAGGATCTGACACAATTTGCCTTGAAATATGTCCAACACTGAGTGGGTTGATAATAAGTAGTTAGGATTCTTTCGCTGCTTCAAGGCTACTTTGCTATTATTCGGGTACTAAGTACATCAGATTATATTTGCAAAAATATTTGCTTTTGCCATGAAAAAAATAACAATAAAATAAAACAAAATGGTTTTCCTAAGAATTATTTCTTTACTAATTTACCAAGTCTTGAGTTTGGAAGCCTACTTGTCCTCCAGACATTTAATATTATGGTGCTTCAACAGTTCAGGTTAGTAGAAACTGCCGATGAACCAGTTTTTAAGCGACTTGGGAAGTTAAACAATCAGACGTCAGTCTTTATTTGGCAGTTTTGTCTATCGTTGCAGCCAACGTGGTTTTAATTAAATATCATTTGTTGGCTATCATGAATCACTGAAATAAAACGTGTTTTTATTTTATTTTTATGTGTCTATTTTTTAGCAAAAAAAGTAATATTTAAATGTGACAAGTTTTCTCTGTACGGTTTCTAAGAATGATGCCCTTGAAAATGTATTCTGTTTGTACGGCACGTGCAAAACATCCCATTCATTTATGGTATATAAAGAACTAGGAACTATTTACCAGAAGCTCAGTTGAATATCTCTTGGAGACAGCTGAAAGTATACGGCAAAGCAGAAAGAAACTACAACTGTTGAACTGGGTAGGATATAGTTATATTTTAAAATAAAATTCCATATTAATTAACATAAGGGATATTACTTAAATATATTTTCCATTTTGATCTCTAGGGAACTTCCCGTAAGTGTTACTAGTAATAACACTAATATGGTTCTTAGAAAACGATGGCTCGTGACTAATTCAAATCAATTTTATAATATAAAGTTTGTATCACGAAACAAAATCTGAGCAAGTAAACGTTTAAACATTAATCAATCTAATATATACTGCATTTCCGAAAGTAAACTGTGAGAAAACTTGGTCTCAGTTAATTTGTCAATTTAACACATTTATATTTCTATAAAACTGAATCATAAAAGGTTGTTTTTTTTTCAATCAAATTAGAAAAAAATATGAAAAGTAACTTTCTTAGTAACTCAGAAAATTTATTTCATGATAATAATAACACAATATTTTCTGGATATATCAAACATTACATTTAATTTCAATATGTTGTAGGATGATATGAAAGTATTATGATTCATTCAATGTTCTTATCCAATTATACTACACGATAAGTTACCATATCTGAGGCTATTAATTTACTTAACCATATTTTGTGATGGTAACAAAATTAACAATATAAATGAAATTTTATGGTTTTGTAACGGTGATGGACAATTTGAATTTAGCTTCTTATATTAAAAAAACTATTCTTTGAAGTAACTTATATCATTTGATATTAGTTTCATTAACAGTGTGAATTAAAATGTTTATATATTTACTTTTCGTTTTTTACTGTATGAATAATTATCATGAGGATTATTTTGCAATTGTTAGCTAAGTATGTGGATTTAAGAGCAACCTATATATTAAAATCGGGCCGAACCTCGTAGATATTATTGGGATTATGGCCATAAATATCGCTAACAGCGAGAGTGCTCAACCGATGACTCAGTGGATTCTAATCATTATAACGTTTTGTTTTATGACGCTGTATATTTCTTATTAGATCGTTATATTTACTTAGCCATATTAATTAAAGGGTTAACTTTGGTTTACGTAGGTTGCTTGCTTTGACCAAAAGCTAGCGATAACGGAATATTTAAAATTTTCAAGATAATATATTCAGTAGTATCAATGTATTTGAAATAATTTTGTTTTCTCACCAAAGTCAAAGATACTTGAAGATATCTTAATCCAAGTCAACTTCGGAAGGAACGTATTCTAATATTTAATGTTTTTTTTTCACTGTGTTTAATTCCAATTGCTTTATGGTTCCATACTCGACTTTTTTCCTTTGTCTTTCCATAATTTAAAGGTCTTTTTTATTTTGTTTCTTGCAACGTAATGCTATTTGCTATAATACAGATATGAACAGCGTTTAAGCTGTATCTCCAGAAAAACTGTAACACAAAATCGTGTAATATGGTGCTTTAATATTCTCTCCTGATTTCTCTAAACGTCCATTGTATTAATATTTACGTTAAAACACTCGTACGAAGATGCAATTTGAAGGAATATCCATTTTTCGAAAACTCTCAGGCTATTGGTTTCTTTTTCTTATTTAAAGGTTAGTCTATCATCTAAATACAAAGAATTAATACATGATGAGAATATTATGCATGGACGGTTTCAATATCTGGTAGCATGGTGCTTTTTTAAAATAATAAAAAAATAAAGAAATTACACTTTAAAGATTAATATTTGTTTCTCACGTGCCTCTGATACTAATTATTTTACAGAAATGGCCTCTTGTCGAAGCACTGTGCTAATCTTTGAACAATTGTTACTCGCTCTGTTTCTGTGGTCAGCCTGGGCAGAAAACATAGAAGTGACCACAAAATCTGGAGTTGTTGAAGGGATTGAGCATCCAGTGATCATCGGAGAGGGAGTATATGTCTTCAATGGAATTCCTTATGCAAAACCGCCCGTTGGAGACCTCCGTTTTGCCAAACCAGTACCCATTGGAAGTTGGGAAGGAAAAGTGGGCGGTGAAGCCAAACCTAATTCCTGCTACCAAACAAATATACATCACAATCAAGAAGTTCATGAATTATGGAAGCTGAAGGTACCTCTAAGTGAAGACTGTCTTTATTTGAATATTTATGTTCCTCAAAATTCCACATTAGGGTTCGGCATTGACAACCCACAGCCAGAAGACTTGATCCCAGTGATGGTTTTTATCCATGGTGGAAAATTCCATTATGGATCTGCTTCGCTAGATGCTTACGATGGAACTGTTCTTGCTGCTGCCACAGATGTCATTGTTGTCACCATAAACTACAGACTTGGTCCAATGGGTTTCCTCCACCTCAGTAATGACGGTGCTCCTGGCAATCAAGGCTTGATGGATCAGCAGACTGCACTTCGATGGGTCAAAGAAAACATACATGCTTTTGGTGGCAATCCAGAAAATATCACCCTGTTTGGCGAAGGTTCTGGGTCTGTTTGTGTTGGACTTCACACCATGATGGAAGAGAGTAAAGGACTATTCCACCATGCTATAATGGAAAGTATGAGTCCCTTGTTCCCACACTCTTCCCACAACCTGGAAGAAACAAATGAGGTGACAGAACTTTTCGCCGAAAAAACAGGCTGTACCTCCAAAGATCCCGGTGAAATTCTTTCTTGTCTTCGAGGGATGGAACCTGAAAAGCTGATCGCTACTACGGAAGAAATTATTCATGAAGGTCATGAAATGCCCTTTGTTCCAACATATGGTCCAAACAGTATGATTTCGAAATCTCCTTTTGAACTGGCAGAAGAAGGACACTTCAATAACGTAGTTATACTCATTGGAACAAATCAGGATGAAGGCTCAAGAGCTCTCGAACATTATATTCCAGAAAATAAAGAAGAGATAACCAGAGAAGAGGCAATTGAAGTAGTTCAGAAAGTGATTTATAACAAAAATCCAGGTACTGCCAAAAAAATCGTGGAACACTATATGAACGATATAGATCCTTCCAATACCAAGGGAAACTTGCATGCACTCAAAGACGCTTTTGGAGACTACTTTTACACGTGCCCTTGTTTATATTTTACAGAAAATTTTAGCAAGAGTGGAAAGCATGCGTATTATTACTTTTTGAACTTTATTCCTAAAAGATACCACCAAGCCGAGCTGATTAGCCAAGGAGACGAAGTGGAGTTTGTATTTGGTTTGCCCTTCCAAAAGATAGCTCTGGAAGAGTATGCTTCTTCTGAAAGGGATCTAAGTTTGAGAGTAATGTCTCATTTTGCCACCTTTGCTGAAAGAGGGTAAGGCCTAATTGTTAATTTATTTAGAATATTTAGTGTTTTATAACTTTTAATTTTTCTTTGTGCGTGTGTGTGTGCCGACACTCCCAACTGTTAAACCTTTCATGTTAATACACTATGGTAGCTAACATTGTAATCTTATCTTAACCATCATGAGTTGAACGATTTTTCTTGTGACTGCTGCTGAAAACAATAAAAGTCGTCCAACTCACTGGCTTTTAAATGATCTAATTTTGTTGTACAAAGAAAATTCTTTAACCTTTTTCTTATTTTCCTTATTAAATAATTTACTATACATTTTCCAAATATGTATGTTCAGGTTTGAAAATAGGCTTAATTCACGTTATTTATACCTATAACGTTTGAGAAATTTTGCGACAAATTTATATTTTACTAAGTGAGATTGATCAGTAGTTTACTAAGAAAGTTACTTTTATCTTTATCAGACCTTTGACAATTAAGAGAAATAATTTATGATGACTCCGTATAATTTGATTTTTTTTTCTAGTAACCCTTCGCTTGCCTTGAACGAGTGGCCTGCTTTTCATGAAGGATGGCCAGTTTATCAAGAGCTCAACACACTCACTCCAAATTTTGCTTACATCTATAATCAGATGCACTGCCAGTTCTGGCGAGACATTGTTGGTGAACAACATTAGAATGTCTACTGATAAAAGAAGCTTCGACTAAATATATGAATAAGTTGATACTGTAACCTCAAAAGAAATACATTAAAATAACTTTGATCGAAATATTTTCCCTGGTGAGACCTAATGATATTTAATAAAACTTCGATGGGTTATTGTACTTTATTCGATATTATCAACACTTATAAATTAAGTAAAAATCTCCCTTATTATTGATCTGTAATTTTCGTCTCACATCTAATAAAGGTGAACAATTAACATTAAAGCATTGTCATAAAACAAATGTTTGACGGCTTCGATTGTCAAATAACTGACAAAAAAAGAAAATAAAAAAGAGCAATTTGGTATTACTTTCTGTCTATGAAAGGACAATGTTGTATGTGTAATACGTAACCATCTTTTTTATTATCATTATCAACTGAAAAACTAATCATAACTTCTTTGGATATTATCCAATTATAGATGGGCTATACCTCTGGAGTCCTCATAAAATAATTAATGTTTCTGTAGATTTTTAGAAGAAAAAAAAAGTCTAATTGCTGGATATAGTTTTTACAAAGTGTCGTAACATTTCTGCTACCGTTGAGTCAGAGATTGCTTGTTAAAAATCTTAAAATTAATTTACAAAAAAGTTTTATTCTAATGATTGACTCAATGGTATTATTGAAATTACATTACTAACTTTTTACTGGATATTATATTAAGCACCCTCAACGCCAAAAATTTGCTAAAATAATCTAGCATTTCCTTTACAAAGTTTTAGTTAACTATTAAAAATCCAATCACTAACTATAAGGCCTGCGTGTGTTCAGTTCCTGATAATCATTGTTTGTTTGCTTGTTTTTGGATATTCGCACAAAGATACGAAAGGAATATCTGCGCTAGTTGAATCTAACTTTAAAATGACTGACTAGAAGGTGGGCAACTAGTCAACAGCACCCACCGCCAATTCGTCTCATCGAATAGAAGAATTTGACTGTCACCTCATAATACAACTACAGCCCAAAGTGCGAAGCGTGTTTTTTTTTTTGTTCCAGTAATGGGAGGCGAATGAGGGACCCACATTTCGGCACGCTAATCACTATGCCACACTCGGTTCAATGATTATAAAGAAGTTATATTTTATGTAAGTTACGACGACTATACACTTACCACGTTTTAAAGGAAACTACAAAGCATTTTGCTGCATTCTGAACGTAGAAGGTAATTTAAATTTGTGATCTCAAAGACAATTCTGACAAACGAAGCTTCTATTTTATAAAATAAATGTACTTCAGTAGGGTCCCCAAAAGTGTTCCGTTTCAAAAGTAAATAAAACCAAAATTATGAGTAACGAATATCTTTATTTCTTGCTTTTCAACTTCATATGTCATGCTGTGTTGTAGTACACAGTGTCCATAATTCTTATCGTGATTCATAGCATACTCACGTTTTACTGACGTCATGACACTACAAATTGCAACGTTAAGCGTACCTTATGTAATGCCATTTTAGCGTCCACTGACAGACAACACACTACTTACTGTATTGTGATGCGAGTGGTTAAAACAGGTGACACCTCCAGGCGGCCTTCGATCCTTTTACGGAAATGAACTTATCTGATACAAATGATTTATATACATAATAGGTAACTCATAATGGATTGTTGTTTTCAATTTCTGCGCTAACCGTCCCAAATTTATAAGTGGCACACTAAATGGAATGCAGCTAGTCAACACCACTCATCGCCAACTCTTTTTTTTTTTAACAATAATGGGATTAACCTCACATTATAGCACGCTCACGGCTGAACATGTTCGGTGACGAGGTTTCGAACCTGACACCCACAAATTGCTAGTCGAACGCCATGACCATCAGGCCATGTTGCTTTCTCAGTACAAAGCTACTCAATGGGATAACTGCACTCCGTCCACCACGAGGAATCGACCCCTAAGTTATAAGCGTTTCCGTAAACTTACCGATGGATAAAATTATAACAGATTAATTTTTTCAAGTAATTATCCATGCAATTATTTAGTTTAGAAGATACTGATAACAAAAACTTGAAATTAACTAAACCTCAAAGGGAGTTTACTATTATCATATAAATTTATTCGGTGTTTCACACAATACTAACATAATTTGAGTTCAGACAGATTAGATTGTAACAAATTGAAGTGTTATATTTGATTCTTCCAAATATTAAAGGCTATCAGAAACTACTAAATAATTTTGTTTCACAAGATATTTGTGAAAGAGAATATAACATCGTTATTACAGATAAAAATGTTGTTGTAAAATTTTCGCGGTAAGTGATTATAGCTTAAGAACATTTTGCCCCCCATTGGCGCAGCGGCATTGTTTGTTTTGAAATTCGCCCAAAGTTACACGAGGTCTATCTGCGCTAGCCGTCCCTAATTTAGCAGTGAATGACTAAAGGGAAGGCAGATAGTCAGCAGCACCCACCGCCAACTCTTTTACCAATGAATAGTGGGATTGACCTTAACTTTATAACGCCCCCACGACTGAAAGGGCGAGCATGTTTGGTGGGACAGGGATTCGAACCGCGACCCCCATGTTGCGAGTCAAGCGCCCTAACCACATGGCCACGCAGCGGCATATCCGCGGAATTACAACGCTAGAAACTGGGTTTTCCTACCCGTGGTGGGTAGAGCACAGATAGCCCATTGTGTAGCTTTTTAATAACTTCAAAACTATCTAGGTTAAAAGTAAGAATACGTATATTATAATAGTCACAGGAGAGGATAAAATGTGAACAAAAGCAGGCAAACTGATGGCTTGATGATAACTGATTTCACAGTTGAGAAAAATTAAACATCTTATATTTTTGTTGGAATGATGGATTACAAGATATAAATGTTAACATTGAACAGACTACCTAAAACAGAAGATTAAATGACCCATTGATAGGTTTCATACATTACTCAGATCTTAATTCCAAATCCTTAGTGCATAAATCATTAATGCATTATCAAAGGTTGTTTTTGTTTGTAATTAAGCACAAAGCTACACAATGGGTTATCTGTGCTCTGCCCACCACGGGTATCGAAACCCGGATAAATGGACTTTAAAATGAAGCTTTCATTTAATGTATTTGACGCACTTCTTGGGAAAAATGGAGGGCCGTATTACTCATTAGACAAATAAATTTCTCTGTAACAATTTTATTTCGTTAAAATTTCGACTTCGTATCTAGTGAACTAAATAAGATACCACTATCAGAAAAAGGACACGAGTTTAAGGATGCATCAAGTATAACAAGAAATTACTGGGAGGGTTCAACGTGGAAAAAATAACGGGTAATCTAAACTGACTGCTCACTATTCGTACGATTCATTCTGTAGTCCGACGTAAATTCAGTCTAATATGTGTGGGGTCTACTTACACTACGAGATACACTACTGTGTAAAAGTCACATGTCGTTAAAATTAAAGTTTGTTGTACTTTACCAATCAAAGCTAAACAAACCGAGCCCGTAACAAGACCAAGATTAAACATGGTTATGCAAGGATTATTAACTGTTTTAAAGCTGTGTTAGAAGGTATACTTGAAATATATTTTTTTAAAACCACTATACACCAATAAGATAGAAATATCTCATCTGGGTTTCATTAAATAATTGAATTAGTTAAACCAGTGGTTAAACCACGTTTGTTCGTGGATCAACTGATTTTTTTTTTAGGTAGACTACAATGGTTATCTATACGCTGTGCTGCTGCTTCCTTTCCGTAATTTAAGACTAAAAACCGGGTTTCGATACCTGTAGTGAGAACAGCATAAATAGTCCTCGCGTAGCTTTGGGCTAAGCAACAAACAAACGAACCTCTCTGTAATTATGCAAGCTTTCCACGAATCACCCGAAGAGTGCCTGCGGACCACACAGATTGATAACCGTAGAATTAAAACTATTCAGCAAAACTTATAATAAATATGAGAGAAACGTGCTATAATACGTCAAACTAACTAACACTACTAAATAACCTTTTTTCTTCCACGTCAATTGAGTAAACAGTACTTTTTAAAGTACAACTGACATACACTTTTAGAAGTGTTCCTCTAGCAGTACTTCAAAAAAAGTCTTGATAGAAATAAACATAACAGAAATGAAACTGCAATTAAATGTTTATCTTACATTACAACTGATCTATTTTCATTTTGTGCCCTATTTATATATTTATAAGTAGTAAATAATAATATTCGTTTTGGTTATTTGCACAAAGCTTGACATCCCTAATTTTGCACTGAAATACTAGAGGGAAGACAGCTAGTCAATAGAAACCAGAGCTAGTCTTAATCAAATAGTGGGATTTGACTACCACTCTCATAACATACCCACGGAGCCAAAGTGCAGTGTACCATTTTTGTGGCAACAGGACAAGAACCGTGAACTCTCGGATTCACAGTCCAGTGCACTAACCACTAGTCACGCCAGTCCAAAATTAAATATAAACTCAAATAATATATATATAGGTAATTCTGTTGTCTTTCTTATTATACTAGCATCTATATTTTCTTAACAAAATAACTAGGAAAACATTTTGGGGGCTATGTCAACAATAGGCATTGTCTGCACCCCCCCAGAAAGAATACAATCACACATACAAAAAAAAAGAAGGTCAAAATGACACCCACTGGTCATAATATGTTGCATATTTTATTTAAGATTGAGAATACAGACACACACACATATACACACACACACACACTATAAACTGGTTTAAGGAAGAATACATATAAAGTGTATAATTTACACTTTTATGTAAAATAAGCTTGAGAGTATCATATATTAATGAAACACAATCTTTTTTAATATTAACAATTTACAAAGCCAAATGTTTTGAGAAATTACAAGTCCATTGGTATTCAAAATTCAAGCTGAATGGTGTATCTTGTTCACATTTGTGAACCTTCTAATAAATTTTTAGTCGATGAAAAAATCCCATTTAAGTTGGCACATGCTCAAAATCATAAAAAAATAAAGTAGACCTGTTCTATAAAATATATAAAAAAAATGACCTTGGAAATACCATGACAAGTCATGTACAGGGCATTGCATACCTCAGTACAATAGCTTTATCTATGGTACGATCTAATACAGTTACTGCTTATTGATTTCCTATGAAATTTAAAAAAATGTGAAAGATACCTTTAAAAACTTGATGGGGAAAGATAACTTTGAAGAAAAAGTAATTTAAAGCCTAAGGTAAAAAAAGGATGAAAATCCTGAGCTGTAAAAGTGTAAACACTCATTAATGTCAAAATATAGAAGAAAAAATTTTGTTGCACCGGCAAACTGGCTCATTTACAAATATTCTAATACATTATTGTAACAGATTACCCAAATGGCTAACACTGTATATTTTTTTGAAAAATCTATTTTATCACAACACACAGTGAATATTCCAAACCATATTAATTTGGTTAACACAATCCATGGCACCACTGATGTTCTTATTACAAGCATAATGTGAACTAAGCATGAAATATTGAGTATTATGAGATAATTGTCTTTGTTATTGTTAATTATCCATTCCGACACTCATAATCTGCAAAACTCATATTTACCAAACACAAAATTGTGGCTGTTATAAAAGTTTACAAAATATGAAGTATCTTATGTTTATGCAACATAATCTCTTCTGATCTAAAATAGTTCCCAGTTTTTTGGGAATATGTCAAACACTGATAGCACAAATACAGAAAAATAATATATTTCTCTTTCCACAAATTTTTTGAAACACCACTTCTAAAAACATTTGTGAGAAGTTAAGAAAAATGGCAACCACTTAAATGTTTTTCATTCAAATTATAACGTCTGAAAAGAAAATAATAATAATTATGTGACTCCAATTTTTCTTAACTTTTCTCAAATATGTTTAATAGTGAAAAATTGTGAATATATATTTTCAAGCTTGTGCCAAATAAACCAGCTAGACTTATGAAGTATTTAGTCTAATGTGCTGATATCTTTCCATTCTTTTGTATGATAAGACATTAAGTTACTGGAGAAAATTTCAAAGCACTCTTAGAAACAAACTTCAGCATAATTTGCATTAGGAATATAAACAACTCTGACAAGTGCATATGTTGTCACTTTGGTGTTAAAGTAGAAGAATAAAGCTCCGACGACCAGTACATGTCAAAAAAGTTTTTTTCACAACTGCACAATCGGCCAACTGTGATTTGGAGATATGTATTACATAGTGACACTCCCACATTTTGCTGTTAACAGTTTTAATATTCAGTTTTTACTTCATAATTAAATCTGTGATTAATTGAAACAACTCAAAAGTATAAAATAATTTCTATAAATTTTAAAGCATGATTAAAAACTTTCATTAATCTGACCGTACTATCCTTGAAATACTAGAGGTTCTGAAATGTCAGTCACCCCTATAATAATAATAACATACATGCCTGTATGCAGAATGTTTGAAAAGGGGATTCTAATTTGTGAAATCAAAAACCAACACATATTGTGCTACAGCTAATTGCTAATGCTACAGGGGTCTGGAGGCATGTGACTATTTCAAGCCAAAAAAACCTAATTCTTCATCAGAAGAATGTAGACTATGTAAAAAAAAAAAATTGAATATCATAAACAGCTGTGCTATAACTATATAGCGATAATTTTTTTACAACACCAAAATGTGAAGGTTTGGCCAACCCCCCCTGCATGCATGCATGACATAGCTTATTTTTCAGTAATGTGCTTTCAGTTATCAAACAAGCCACATAGCAAGACATGAAATTTCAGACACAATTAAAACCACTTGAAAAGATAGTAATTCTGAACGTTCCTAGCTTTTGATAAACAGCAGCATGCATTTTTCTTACAAGAAAAATGAGACAACAAAAATTAGAAAAAAAATAATAATTAAACTCACAAAATTTCTAATAATGGTTAAAACCTCCCTACCTTTCTGTAATACAAACAATTATTAAACATCACTCACATGCATATCTAGAGATAAATTAAAAACAAATTATAATACAGTAGAAACAATTCTTACAGTATTTCATGCATCACTGAGTGAACATGCTACAGATAAGAAACATTAATTGGATGAAAGTAGATCAAATCTTATATGTAAACTTTAAGCACTATTAGAAAGTTCTTTACAGAACCCTCATACAAGATTTCTACATTTACTAATCATGGATCAGTAAATTGAAATAAATAATTAACATATACTTTTATATAATTTATATATAGTTTTTTTTGCTTCGTAAACAAAGAATATGATTTTCTTTAAATACCTCTGGGAAAAAATTTCCACATTACTGAAACAACATCTAGCACTTTTAATTCTCCCCCTTCTGGATTCAAGCTAAAAAAGTCTTACATAAAATAATGTTCCATAGTTTTCATGTTTTGAGGTTTCTTGTGTGGGACTGTTTTTATTTCTTTTTTCCTACGTTTTTTCTTTCCTTCAGCTAGGGTCTTGGAAAGCATTTCTGATTTAGAAGACACATTTGGTCTACCAAATATAACATTTCCAGCAACCTCACAGGTAAATTTTGATTGCAGATCTTCGGCTACATGGAAATCTTGATGCTCCTGGCTTTTCCAGATAGGAATGTTTTTTCCACATTTACTACATTTTTCACAGAGATCTTCAGCAAGTGATGCAGAGCTTTCAACTAAAGCCAATGGTTGTTCCATCACATCTTTAATATCTTCTACTTGTTTACTGTCTATGATTTTATCAAAAGGCTCTACAGGTGATGCTGATGATAGTTGTTTTAAAGTTGATGATTCTACTTTGTTACTGTATGTATCTGATAAATTAGTACACTTTGTTTCGGTAAACATCTCAACCTTGGAGATACTCTCTGATTTTATTGTTACATCATCTTTAGAATGCCACTGTTTCAGTTTTTCGTGAACATTATTTTTTGAAATATTAGTTTCTGGCTTTCTAATTTCATAATCTATTGAGGCTTTATCTTTCAATTCTGTGGTTTTTAACATGTTAATTTTTTTTTGTCTTTGGTCTGATGATTCAGATACCTCCTTACTTAATTCTTCTTCACTGATGCTCACAGTTTCATGTTTTTCAAAATATTTGTTTAGGCGAGTCACTTTACCATTAGCTAAAGATTGTGCAGGGTACTTCTGTGCTTCTTTAGGCAAGTACTGTTCCACTTCTTTTCTAATACTATCTGGTAAGAAGGGTAAGACTGATAGGTCAATTGAAGAAGGACTCAGTGGTGTAGAATGACTATGACTGATAGAAGTTTTGTCCTCTGATAAGTCAGGATAAGTTGCATTATATAATTGGAGGGGGTTTGGTTTTGACCTTTGTGAAGTAGCATTCACTGATGGGCAGCATGTTTCATTAACTGATTTTGTTTCTTTTTTTGCTGATATTTCTTCTAGCTTTCTTTCAAAAAATCCCTTTTTAACTTCCTGTTTCTCATTTCGGGTGATGTTACATTTGTTTTTATCTTTGTTTAAAGATAATGAAAGTTTGTCAGAAACAGGATCATCAAGTGACTTTTCTTGCTGAAAAAGCTCCTGAGAAATTCTCTTGGGTGAATTTTTTAATGAAACCTTTCCTCTCTGATCTTTTTCAACATCTTTAAGGCTAAAGTTCACTGTCGAATTTAATGCAGAGTACTGGTCAGCAAAGTCAGATTTGCCAGACTGGCACATAAAGAATGATTTAATTACATTAGGGGAACCAGATGAAGATACAGTAGGTTTTCTGTTAACAGCTACATGAACTTGGGAGTTCCCTTCATGCCGAATTCCCTGGGCGTCTGCTACACTGAGGTTATTTTCATTACTACTTCCAGATTGTTTAGAAGGAGAAGGTTTGAGATTTAGTAGAAAAGAAATTCGCAATATTCTGCATCCCATTTTCAATGTCATCCTGAAATCTTCCTGCTGACAAAGTAATATTCAACAGAGCTGGAGACCTAGTGTATACAAAGATTAACTCAGTAAAACACAAATCTTCAAAATGTCTATTTACATATCCAGGAACAACAAACTTTACAACGTTAACCCCATTCTTGCAACAAGCAGCATCAGACTTAAACAAGAGATGGGGTTACTACATTCAGAATTTAAAAAGGAATTTCTAAACATTTTCCAGCTGATATGCTTAAAAAAAATATAGAAACAGTACTTGTTAAGTTAATTTTTATTACTTTACTTTGAGATATTTTGTATTTTTCATGGATAGCTTTTTGCAGTCTTGAAAAATGCACAATATTTATAAGTACATAAAAATTAATTGAACTTTGTATCATGCATCCAACCCATTATTATGATATATATATTTTTTTATATATTTTTGTGTTTGTGCTCTCACTTCAGCCGCCCTAGTGAAACATTTTACTTTATTCTAAACATCATAGAGAAACAAATGTATACATACAGCTCATTTGGATGTTTTAGATCAAGCCAGACATTTTCAATTCACTAACAATTTACCACAGTCTAGTGACTTTTTATTTCAAATATTCTTTCAAAAGTAATTGTTAGTTATTTCTTTTGCTGCAGGTTCAGAACTAGAAATGTGGTAAAAATGTAGCTTGAAAATATCTTGAAAAATTGACATGCTTACCTGAAAAGAAGCTGATAGGATACATAAAAAAGGTGTTTTGTTTGATATTTGAAGTAATGTTATTTTACTTTACCACCAAACTTGACTCTTAAGTTTTATCTGTTAGTTAGATCTATCAACAAACACATATTGTCGAAATTGTATGTTACAGTTGAAGAAATAACTAACTTGTTACAAGTGGACTGGACTCTGCATTATTTTTACCAAATAATAATAAGACAAAAAATGCCCAATTAAAGGCACCATCCAAAAGTTGCAAGATAATCAGACCAAGTAGTATGGAAATATCAACTCCCTCTGATGGTAGTCTTAGAAGAACTGACAGGACTAATTAGACAACTAATTACAATGTACAGAGAATGGAAGAAGTAAGCTACAATACAATAGGTGTTTCAACTGTAACTTCAGAAAGAAAAAGCTTGTAGGGAATAAAAACTTCTCCTAAAGGATGTCAGATAAACGAATTTGTTATAAATGTAGGAAACATGGAAGTTACAGCCAAGACTGTAACTAATGAACAAAGATATAAGACCTTAAGGATCAAAGTTCAGCTGAGAATACTCCATCTTCCCCAACTGTAGAACTTGGAGATTTAATTGAATACCCATAGACAATGATTATAGTAATCAAGCAAACAAAATTAGGGGGTCCAATTATTCCAACTATCTAAGAAATCAAAATATTGCTATTATGTTTGCTTGTTGTTAAGCACATAATGACCATCTGTGCTGCTCTCCCGAATGTTTAACCTTGTTTTTTTTTTCTTCTTTTTTCAAGTTTGTTGAGATTTGGTGATTTGGGGGGTCCCATCAGTTTCTGGTTTGATTCTCATTGCCACCATACTTGATTGCCCTATCTTTGTCATAGCAAAGCTATTGAAGCTATCTGCCACTGTTACTAATTTTGTATTGCTGACAAGAGGGCAGACAACTGCTGCCAACCTTTTTTTTTCTTGTATGTGCCATTGTTTGAGAAACAATGCACTAATCAATTAATTAAATGTAATTAATAACTAGGGTCATCAGTTAATTGATTAGCAAATATCACTAATCGTTCAGCTATACTCACAAATACAAATGGCAAAAACAAACCTAAAAACATATTTAGTTTTTAAATCTGGCTTTATTAGGTAGCTTTTATGGACTGAGAATCAAATTTCTAGGCTTTTCATAGCTTTTATGAATTGAGTACCAAGTTTCTAGGATTTTCACCTACACGTCAAGCAACAAAATTAATAACATGATCAAATCTATTTTTATATCTTAAGAAATGCTTAGCTTCATAGAATAGGTTTGTTTATTTGTTTCTAATATTTAATCAAAGCTACACAAAGGCTATCTACACTACCAATCCCTAAGTTTGAAGTATTGGACAAACAATAAAATTGTAAAATTTGAAAGCCATGGAACCCTCTTATTTCATCCTTTCCATTGCAGAACCTCAACCCTTAACCCACCCTTAATGAAAGTGACCAAGTTCATAACAGTATTGGTAAAGTAAATGTATAAAAATTCTCATGATTTTTAAAAATACATTTGGTTCCTGACGAGTTAACACTTAATACCTAAAAAAACAAAAATGCTATTACCCATTCTCTTTGTGGGGGATCCCTGATGACCCTTCGCCGAACCTAAGGGTTTTGCGGAACACAGTTTGCAAACCACTGGACTAGAAGGAAGGTAGCTTGTCAACAGTACCCAATGCCAACTTTAGGGTTACTCTAATCGATTAATGGAATTTGATTGTTACTCTAATAATGCATTCATGGCTCCAAAGGACAGGATCTCATGTTATAAACCCATCTAAGCTGAAGACAACTGATGCTGCCTGGAGCTGAAGCCAGGAATACCACAGTTGGACTTTGTTGACTGATGCAAGCTGAAAAATCACTATATGCTTTCTTTATAAGTTTGATTCAAAACCAATCCCACTTTGAATACTGATAAACAAAACATTACAGCATAATGGAATTAGATTGGACAAAAAATTATGTGGATAAATGAAAGTAGAATCAAGGGTTGTTGTACATGCTTACCATTCTTTACTAGATGATGGAGTTGTGTTAATCTTCTGAAGAAGATTCAGAGCATCATGAGCCAATTTTTTGGTATCATAAATATGAATTGGGCAGGATCGAGATGTTAGGCCTGGACCATGGTCACCATAGCAACGAACACTGACAGTTAGGAGTCTGGCCATTCTTTTATTCTGTAATGAGAACACAAGAAACAAAGCTCACCAAAACTTTATCTGAAAACTTTTGTTTCTTTACTGCTTTAGACATTTTTAAGAATAAGAGAAGTTCCAGCAAAACTTGTAAATTACATTATTTAAGTAGTTTTGAATATTCCCTTTTCTCCATATTAATTAGTTGTATTGAATAATCCTATGTCCCATGAACAGAGATGTTTTTCCTGTTTATTTTTAAACACATACTTCATGTACAGTAGTATTAACAATTTTCTCAGTTTCTCCATGTTTACAACTTGTAACTGTAAATTTTATTAATACAGCAATAAAAACCTTAAAAAAATGAAATAATTAAAGCACATTCACTAAGATAAATTAGCAAACATTCTAAACAAAACCTTCAAGGATGAAAGCTTAATCTATTTCTGTATTACTGTTAGATACCGAGATACAATGAAAAAAAACTGGAAATGCTTCAAGTAAAACGACTTTGTTTCTACTATAAAGTAGGTTTCTATATCATTGCTGTTTCCAGGATTTCACTGTAATGCTCTTGCTTGAATATCTTTATGTATATTACGTAACTGACATCTTGTAGAGAAATACATAACGAAGTCTTACATCACTCCGATCTCTCTGCAATCGTTCATCCAGTTCTGCCATCAGCTGTTGCAGCCAGTACTGCACCTGTGGAAAGAATACAAGATTACTTCAATAACATCACGTATCACTAGTATTTCATTCTCATGATTTCAGCATAATTTCTTTTCAGTGTATTAATCCATACTATTGAGGTGAAGCCCACTAGGCACTGGCAGATGTGTAATGTGTACTTCTTCAGTTGACTGAAAAAATATTGATTAAAGTTTGTTCAAAAATCTTCGAAGCATACAATCAATTTCAATGATTATTATTCTTAAGCTGGTATGATTTTTTTAATTTTAAGATTTAGTGATTACTAGACCATCTGTGACCCGTTGGGTCACCCACTATTCAGAGGTTATGAAGAATTCA